ACGCTGTGCCAAATTTCGTGCAAATCGAAATATATATAGGTACATTGGTAGATCATTCACATTAAATCGGACGAAAATATATATGGGAGCTATATCTAAATCTGATCCGATTTTTACGAAACTTAACCCACATTATTCTATACCTAATTCATTACGCTGTACCAAATTTCGTGCAAATCGAAAGATATATAGGGACTTTGGTGCACCATTTACATAAAATCGGACGAAAATATATATGGGAGCTATATCTAAATCTGAACCGATTTTCAGCAAACTTAACACACATCATTCTAGACTCAATTCAGTACGTTATGCCAAATTTCGTGCAAATCGAAAGATATATAGGGACTTTGGTGTACCATTTACATAAAATCGGACGAAAATATATATGGGAGCTATATCTAAATCTGAACCGATTTTTACGAAACTTAGCACACATCATTGTGGTCTTAATTTAGTACGCTATGCTAAATTTCGTGCAAATCGAACGATATATAGGGACTTTGGTGCACCATTTACATAAAATCGGACGAAAATATATATGGGAGCTATATCTAAATCTTAATCAATTTTTACGAAATTTGACACACATATTTCTAGACCGAATTCATTACGCTGTGCCAAATTTCATGCAAATCGAAGGATAAATAGGGACTTTGGTGCACCATTTACATAAAATCGGACGAAAATATATATGGAAGCTATATCTAAATCTGAACCGATTTTCAGCAAACTTAACACACATCATTCTAGACCGAATTCATTACGCTATGCAAAATTTCGTACAAATCGAAAGATATATAGGGACTTTGGTGCACCATTTACCTAAAATCGGACGAAAATATATATGGGAGCTATATCTAAATCTGAACCGATTTTTCCCAATTTCAATAGGGTTCGTCCTTGGGCCAAATAAGTGATCTATGCCAAATTTCATCCAAATCGGATCATAAATGCGTCCTGTACTTTGTTCACAAAAATACATGGACGGACATGCGTAAATCCACTCAGAAAGTGATTCTATGCATATTCTCAAAAGGAACCTCGTTTTCTTTTGCCTGTTACAAACATATGCACAAAGACATAATACCCTGTACCACCGTGTGGTGAAGGGTATAAAAATATATCCGAAGGACGGCCTAAAAATCTGACTGTCCTAGATGTAATTACTTTTATAAGAAAACATACGATGGAGCCTTTATTAGTACAAAGTCCTCTAAGTCCAAATATATCTGACCTACATTTCGACTAAAAATGTCTTCATTTATGCCATAATGAAATTTATTACTTTTTTGAAAGCAAATTCGAAATTTGTCTTTCTATTCTCAACACCATGTGAAATGGTGAAAATTATTCTCCTCGAAAGTCGGAATGCTAATTTTTGTTTATACGAAAAATTGAAAACCATTTTAACATTATGAATAAAAATGTCTTCTACGTTATGCGGTGTAGCTGGTGGATGGCTTTTGTGTTTATTCGTAACTCATCATCCTTCTGAGGAATGACCCATATTTTTTATTTGTTTAAATAATTTTAACAATGTTTTTTTATGGATGAAAATCGAAGATACATTCAATGTACACACCAATTAAAAAAAAAATAGGGATGCCGAATCAAATTGTGATTTAATGGCTTGTGTCGATTGTTTGCTTCTGGAATAGATTTGATAGGATAGGCCATGAAAAAATATTTTTTAAAAAGACATCGATTTTTTGAAAATTTTTTTTTCATGGCCTATCCTTAGGCTTGGATTTATTTACTTACTTAGCTGGCATGTTACAGAACGGTTGTTTCATAAGCCGAGCTTAAAAATGATTTCCAAGCGCGTCGGTCTTGTGCGCATCTCCGCCAATTTGAAGGACCACGTTCCAAGATGTTGTTTTCTACTTGGTCTTTCCATCTGATTCGTGGCCTTCCCCTTCTACGGGAACCAACAGTAGGCTCGCTTTTATATGCCTTTTGAGTTAATTCATTCGCCATCGTAGTCGCTGCAGCTCAATACGTCTAACTATGTCGATGTCCGAGAATAGCTGGTACAACTCATGGTTCATTCGACGTCAATATTCACCGTCGACGCCGATCGGTCCGCAGATCTTTCGGAGAATTTTTCTTTCAAACACCCCAAGAGCTGCCTCATCTGCTTGCGCAAGTACCCATGCTTCTGATCCATATAACAGCACGGGTAGTATCAGCGTCTTGTAGAGTGTGAGTTTGGTCTAGCCTTGCATTTGAGTTGTTTGCTCAGACTAGAGGTGTGCAACGAAAAAATTCTCAGAGAACAAATGAGAAACCGCCATATGAAATGACTTACGAGAAGAGAACGAACTTTTTTATACATGTAAAAAAGGGCACCAGTTCCTATGGTTGAACAGGGCTAGCTCAGACCATAGTAGCATCGGTTGGCCATCACTATCCTTCTCCGAATTTCAAAACTGATGTCATTCGTTTTATTTATGGCGGTACCAAGGTATATAAAATCTTTCACAACCTCGAAGCTGTACTTCTCAAGTTCCACAGTTGGTCCGACGACTACTGGACGTCTTGCGTGTTGATACCATCAGCTTAGTCTTCTCGCCGTTTACCACCAGACCTACTTTTGCAGACTCCTTCTCAATTTGTTCAAAGGTGGCTGTTACCGCCCCCAATGTTCGACCCATTATGTCGATGTCATCGGCGTAGGCGAGTAACATGTGTTGTTTGGTGTACAGAGTGCCATTTCTGTTCACCTTTGCGGCTCGTATGACCTTTTCCAGCAGGATGTTAAAAAGATCACACGACCCACTGTCACATTGTCTGAATCCTCGTTCGGTATTAAAGGGCTCCGATAGGTCCTTTCGCACTTTAACTGCTGACCTTCTGCCACTTAAAGTTATCCTGCATAGCCGTATTAATTTTGCAGGAATGTCAAACGCAGACATGGCTTTATACACCTCTGAATGGATAGGGCTGTCGAATCCGGCTTTATAGTCGACGAATAGGTGGTATGTGTCGATGTGTTTTCCATTGGTCTTTTCCAGGATTTGGCGCAGAGTGAAAATCTGGTCAATAGTGGATTTACCAGGTCTGAAGCCGCATTGGTATGATCCAATGATGTCATTGACCATTGGCATCAATCGTTCACACAGCACACTGGATAGCACTTTATATGCGATGGGAAGAAGGCTAATTCCTCTATAGTTGGCACATATCGTCTAGTCTCCTTTTTTGTGCCCGGTACAAAGGATACTGATGTTCCAATCATTGGGCATGCATTCCTCTAGCCAAATTGTACTAATCAGCTGGTGCATGCTCCTGACCAGCATCTGACCACCAGTCTTGAATAGTTCGGCTGGTAGCCCATCGGCTCCTGCTGCTGTATTGTTCTTGAGCCGATTAATTGCTTTTATAGCCTCATCTTGGCTATACCATCATCTCTTATTGGGTCTGGAGTATAGAGAATAGGATCAGAAAAATATTTTTTAAAATCTATGACTGAGAATAAGCTCAGAAAATATTAAAAAAAATCCATGGCTAAGTATAGGATCAGAAAAATATTTTTAAAAACCCATGTCTGAGGATAGACCATAAAAAAATCTTTTATTTAAAAAAAAATATTATATAAGCTCAAAAAAAAAAATAAAAAATATTTAAGAATATATTTATTATAAAAAAAATTATTCAAAATTCATTATTCAAAAGCCATGAAAAAATATTTTTCAAAATCCACGCCTATCTGTAAGCCATGAAAAATTTTTGAAAAAATCCACGTAGTCCATGTAGTCCATGAAAAATTTTTGAAAAAATCCACGCTCAAAGATATGCCATTTTTTGGAAAAAATTAAATCCACGTCTAAGGATAGGCCATGAAAAAATATTTCTAAAAAATCCTAAGCCTATGCTAGTCGCAGATTTTATAAAAATACGTTTATTATAGTATTCTTAAGCGGGGATTTTTTAATTTTTTTTTCAAAGCCTAACCTTAGGCCTGCATTTTTTAAAAATATTTTTTCATGGCCTATCCTCAATTGTTATTCGATAAAATCAATTTTTATATTTTTTATGTAACACCAAAAAGTTTTTTTAAAGAATTCCAAATTTTTCAAATTCCGAATCGACAATCCTAATTGTGGAGTGAAGTGTTTATACAACGATATGTTCGATGCGATTTGTGAAATGTATTTACAAAAAAATTGAGTTACAGCTTTATTTATTTCGTGTTGTTGTTGTCTCTTTATGTCTGGCGGCACAAAGAAGAACACACTCTCTGAAAAAAAGAAACGAGCCAGGAAATAAACAAATTTTATAGCGAAGAAAGCAATACGAATTCGAAATAAAACACCTGTTAATGATGCCATATTGGGGAGAGGATCTTGTTCAGATTTTTGCGAAATCAGGGTTGTTATAAAATTTTTCGATTCTTTCTAATTTCAGAATTAGTTTTGATTGGTGGTGGGATAACAAGGAAATGTTCAATTTGTATAGGAAAATGGAATTTTTTATAAAAAAAAAATAGTCACATAAGATAGTGTAATTTGTTCCTAGGTATTTGGAAGAAAAGATATATCAAGAAACAGTCCTTGTTGTACCCTTAAACATATTCATTAAAAATCTACGCTTTAGTAGTACCCTTGAAAAATATTTTTATAAAATCTACGCCTTTGTAGAACCCTTGAAAAATATTTTTATTAAATCTACGCCTTTATGGTACCCTTGAAAATATGAAATAATTGACGCCTTTGTTGTACTTTAAAAAAATCTTTTTAAAAAATCTACGCCTTTGAGGTAGCCTTGAAATTCTTTAAAATAATTTTTTATAAAAAAAAAAAAAAATGACAAGTGGAAAGGTAATCGATAACCAATGAAAATGAATAACTTTTATTTATATATTTTATAATTGATGCCCATTTGAAAAAAAAAATTACATAAATTTATTTTTTCTAAATTTTTTTGTGAGACCCATAAATTTTATTTATTTCTTTAATTTCCAATAAATTTATTTATTTTTTAAAATTATTTTACAGAAACTGAGGGTGAACTAACACGCAAACAAAAAGTCACATTACCCTGGGGTCCACTCTACTGTGTACTGCAGCAGGATGAACAGGCCTTCACCGCATATTGCAGTGAAGAAATATCGGTAAGTACACGTATATTTTTTTATAGTATAAATTAAATTAATAAATTGTAATATTAATAGTATACAGTGGAACTTCTCATGAGAGAAAGATGACTATTTAAAAATAGTAATATAGAAAAATATATTCGGTAAGGTTTCAATGGCCCCTTATAAATTCTCTCTAGGCTTTAGATTTTCCAAATTGTCTAGACATATTTTCTGACCCTTGATATCAGCTATTGTACCCCCTGGCCCTTTAGCTCGTGTATAAAAACAACCTAGAATGATTGGGATACAAAATCCTTCAGTTCGTTCAGGGCCTTAAGTTTATCTTTAAAGTCATCATGTTCCTTCAGCTCTTTAATAAAAACTTCCTAGCTCTAACCATGCAGGCTCAATGACAATTAACAATTTTTTAGGAATATAAGTCAAAAATGGCGCCCAACATGGGGACGTGCATAAAAATCCCAGAAGTCTTGAATATTTGAAAAATAGTTTTCCCTTAGTCTTCACAGTGGACCAACACAATGTGAATTCTAAATGACACCAACATTACAAAATGGCGCCCAATTTGGGAACGTTGACATATCATATGGTTTCTATTTCGTCTAAGATCAGTATGATGGTAAAAAATTAAGAATGGCGCCCAACAAAGACCTTCTCATTCATGTCACATTTTAATATTTTTCCCAAAATATGTCTGAAATCATAACACTCCAACAATTCAAAAAGCCACCTTCAAACCACCACAGCATTAGGACACATGCTGGCAAGACAAATACCTTATATCAGTTATCATCAGTTATTGATGAAGTTGTCTCAACTTGTATTGGGTATATAATATAAAATACTAAACATTTTACAAAAATTACCAAATGGCGCCCAACGTAAGGACGTCTTTTGAGCCATTTTTCCTTTGTAACTCCTCGCTATATATTTAGAATCACATTCCTATAAACATTTCCAATACTATTAGTTTACCTTTAAAGACTTCATGGTCCTTCATTTAAAAAAAAAAAAACAAACAAATGGCGCCCAACATAAGGACGTCTTTTGAGCTATTTTTTTATGTAACTCCCCTCTACTTTTCCACCACATTCCCATAAAGATTCCTAATACGTTTTGTTTACCTTTAAAGGCTAGACAGGTTATAGGGAGAAATAACACAGGAAAGGTGGATCAAAACACGTCATTACGTTGGGCGTCATTTGTGTTTTTTTTTTAATGAAGGACCATGAATCATTAAAAAAAAAAAACGAATGGCGCCCAACGTAATGACGTGTTATGAGCCATTTTTCCTATGTAATTTTTCCCTATATTTTCCATAACATTCCTATAAAGAATCCCAATACCTAATGGAGCTTCAGCTCTACAATAAAATCTGTCTAGCCTTCAACTCTTCCATACCGACCAAAAGACAATCTGGGCCTTTAGCTAGTCTATGAAAATGGCCTAGTCCTTTAGTTCGACTATAAATATTCAACAACATTCACTTCGTATTAAGACTTCCTGACATTCAGTTTATCCATACTTTCATGGTCTAGCCTGACCTGGCTAGCCAATAGAGACGTCCTTAAGCCTTCACGTTTTTGAACCTAACGTTTACCTATTGAGTACCCCGTGGCTTTAGTTCGTCTATAAAATATCAATATCATTCAGCTCGTATTAAGACTTTCTGGCATTTATTTTATCTATAACATTTTCCTGCTTTGGCCTGAACTACCCCGCCAACAAAAACGCCCCTTCAACTCGCCTATAGTCTTCACTTTGTTCATACGTTCGCCTATTGAGCACCCTGGTTCTTTAGTTAGTCTATAAAAATTACCTGGTCCTAACAGGAAGGCAGCATAGCATTCTTATTCCCCACGTGATTTGTTATAATCAAATATCGCTTTGTAAGATGTCTAAAAATTAAATAATGAAAATGCAATCGTGTTGAACGATTATGAAAGCTTTCTTTGGATTTTTTTTAATATTAGATTCTAAAAATAAATCTAAACAGATATATTTTAACATTTATATTTTCTTTGGATAGCCAAATTTCGCACCTTTAATAGAGGTTCTACTGTATACATTATATGCAATATTTTACTATTACAAAAATAAAATTATTTTATTGCTAATACAAAAAATGCTATAAGTTATTCAAAATAATATAAAATTATTAAAATCAAATATATTTAAATTGTTAACTGTACTCTCTTTTTCTCTCTCTATCTCTCTCATATATATTTCTCTCTCACACACATCCATTTTTAATACACTTTACATTTTTACACATGCCACAAATTTCATTGCTTACACTCGGAAAAAATTATGCGTACAAAACACACACAATCATAACCGCACCATGAACACACACACCATCATATATATTTTTTAAAATTGTAAACAACACATTTTTTATAAAAATTATGCTAAAATCTTGCGGCTATATACAAAAAATATCACCACTGTAGATATTGTCGGCTACACCCAAAAAAGAGGTGGGTAGTTGCTATGAAAAACAAAAATTTCCAATATATTAACTTTTTTAATTATGTTTGAGTTGTAGATTTTATATTAAATATTAAAACATTTTTCTTTGTAGATTTTTCAAATATTAAAAAAATAATTTTTTAAATTTTTGTTTCTTTTTTTATTAAAAATTCATGTAACGATTCAAGGCCTTACATGTAGGATTTATAGAGCCCCTCTTTTGTCTTATCATCTTCAAAAGACTCCCTATTACCAAGTATCCTCTAAAGACTAACAAGGTCTCCAGCGCCTCTGTAAAGTCTCAATGGCCCTATATAAATGCTCTCTATGCTTCAGATTGTCCAAAATTTACAATTATTTACGATTGTGTTATTTAGTATTTCAGTATTTGAACGTTACGGTTACTTATGTAAATACGTTGGAAATAGTACCATAAAATTACATCTTTGATCCAAATAACTTTTTATACAACTAATACTCGATAAGAATCTTGCTTCTCATATGTAGTACCAAAGCTGAACTTTATTTCAATAAAGTCAGTCCGACTACGACACTCATTCGTTATACATACATTGAAAACATAAGAACAATAACCACGCTTGTCTAAGTTGATGGACTCAGATCAGTTAAAGGGTCAAACTTTAAGTCTTGTTGTTTCTAATGAAGCCCCAACAGCTCCTCCACGAGCCTGCTTTATTTACCCACATTGGCCTGCTCAATTGACAACGAACGCCGAATTGCTTTATTGGCGTCCAACGTGAAGCTGCTTTAAGACTAGAATTTAATAGACCTCTTTCCGGTGCTTCAGTTGTCTATAAAGACTTCAGATTATCCAAAACAAAATCAATTTCTTCTATAAAGACTCCATGGTCCTTCTGCTCTTTTCTAAAAAATTTCCAGCCTCCAGATTATCCAAACATCGTTTAATCACTTCTCCTCCTATTATAACTTCCGAACTTCAGCTCATCTAAATTCAATAGAACTTGTGTTCGCCTTTGATTGTTCTTGGTCCTTCAGTTTGCATGATCCTTCCTGTTTTTTTTTTTATAAAAAAAAACTCCATAGCCTTTACCTCGCCAATAGAAACCCTATTACGGTTAATATGTGTAGACATATTTTCTGGCCCTTGGTATCGGCTATTGGACCTATTGGTCCTTCAGCTCTTGTATAACAATAACATAGGACGATTGAGATTTATAAAGCCTTCAAAGACTCCCAGGACCTGAAGTTTGTCTTTAAAGACTCCATGATCATTCTGCTCTTAAAAAAAACTTATATGCCTCCACCTCTTCAATAGAGACTCCATTACCGTCAATTTGTCTGGATATATTTTCTAACACTTGATATCAGCTATTGAACACCTATTGTCCCTGGCTCTTTAACTGATCTATAAAATTTTTAAAAGTCTGGACTTTCCTATAAAAAAAATCACCAAAATTCATCTTCCCTGGCCATTTAGTCTCGTCTGTAAAATGTCCTAGTATTTCCTATAAATAAATCATCACTATTCTGATCTCATAAATATCGTTTGGAACTTGTACCGCTTTACCTGATCCAGAAAGACCATCTTGAGCTGATTCAGTGATTCTATAAAGACACACTTCTGCTGGTCTGCGAGCTACATCAACTTCTCCATTGAAAACCGCTTCATCTAATTTACAAAAATTAAATTGCTTAAGCTGATCTATAAAGACCCGCTTCAGTCTATCTAAAAGGACCCTTTTCCAGCAGGTGTTGAAAAGCCTCCTCTGTTGGCCTTAATAGATCCGCTTTTTCGGCTTCAACTGGCATATTAATGACTAATTCTGCTGCTCTATAAATATACGCCTTAGCTGGTCTATAATGACTAGCTTCTGTTGGTCTATAAATACCCGATTTTGATTGCCTACAAAGATCCGCATCTGCTAGTCTACTGCTGGTCTGAAAAGGCCTTCTTCTCCTGGTCTCTACCGGCTTGGTCTATAAAGACGCGCTACCTCTGGTTTTAAAAGATTCGCTTCAGGTGGTCTAATCACACCCGCTTCAGCTGGTGTAATAACACCCGCTTCACCTGGTTTATAAAATCCGCTTCTACTTGTCCATAAGGACCAACATATAGGGAATCTAGCATTCAGCTCGCCTATAGAGGTTCTAGCCTTCAGCTTGCATATAGAAACTCTAGCTTTTAGCTTGTCTATAGAATATCTACCCCTCTGCTCGCCTATAAAGGATTTAGCATTAAGCTCTCCTATATATGTTCTAGTCTTCAGCTCATCTATAATAGGCTCTTGCCTTCAGCTTGCCTAGAAGGGAGGTTCCCTTCAGCCCGCCAATCGTCTATATAGGATCTCTTCAGCTTCCTATTTTCAATCCAACCCAAGCCCATTTTAAAAATATTTTTAACTTTTGAATTATTTATTGTTATTAACGTAGTTATTTTTCTTAATTTTTTATTTATTTTTTTTCAATATTTACTTTTAATATTAAAATTCTAAAAATGTAAATTGGAAAATTTCTAAAAATCTCTTTATCACATTTTTCCAGTTAACCGATATTATGTGCAATGAATATCCCCGCGTACGTTTAGATCGTGTCCGTCGTCCAACAAAAATTGTCTGGGATGGACCACCAACATTGCCAGAGGAGCCGGAAGATTCAGATACCTCCTGTCCAATGGAAATAGCATTAAATACAACAATCTATAGTGAAATAGGTAAGTGGAGAAGAATTTTTGATATTTATTTTCTATAATTATTAAAGAAATATATTGAATTAAAAATGGTCCTTCGAGGAGAGGGACGAAAAATACGAAAAATCACGGTTGAAGGACTAAGCTAAAAGATCTTAGAATAAAAAAATCTTTAATTTTACAACCCATTAGGATAAGCTTTAAAACTTCCAGCGGATGAATGGTAAGTTAGCTATAAGTT